TTTGTTTATTTAATTATTTCTTTAATTTCTAGGCATGTAATGAATGATATTTGACAAGTGAATGATATAAAATAAAATAACATCAAAATTTTGACGGTGGAATTGGAAGGCAATGAAATTTCTCACATGAAATCACAATTAATCTATTTTATAGTCAACCTAGAATAATACTGTTTTGACGGTATTGTGCAGTGGGTCAAAACTCAAAAGCAAAGAAAATTGAACCTCCCTAAGCTAATTGATTAGATTAATTTTGAAAGGCAGGACCATTTCTTAATTTAATTGATTAGGTTAGATTCCCGTACCAATAACATAATAATAAACAAAAGTGTCAACATTTCATTTCAATTTGTGATGGGTTACGTTGCCATTATATTCTAGCCGTCTTTGTCTTGTCTTATTCATTCAATCTCGTAGCTTTAGGGGAAGAAAGTTGGTTTAATTTTTCATAAGATTTAAAATTTTAATTTTAGATGGGGTAAGATAATTAAATGAAATTAATTCTCATAAGAAGGACCTTCGGAGCTCAAGTTGGTTTAAATTTTTTTTATTTTTTTTTTTGGAATTGATTCTCGTAAACTGTGGTAGTTAATATTTTTGGATTTTTTTTTTCTTTGTTTTGGTATTTCAGCTGGTGTACAAAAATTATTATTAAAATAAATAATAACGATATAATAATAATAAAAATGAACTAACAACTAACAGGAAAAAATCAAAATATATTTTTAATGTATTTGTTAACTATAAATTTATCTCCAACAATCTTCCACCACTGACTAAATAATCAATGATTTTTTTTTTAATGTGAAAGTGTGCAACTTAAATATTGACAAGAAGACTTTTGCTTTGATTATTCAGAAGTCCTTTCCGTTCATTAAAATTTTCTTGAAACCCAACACTCATCCAAACACAGCTCATTGGTCATTTAATTCAAAACAACTTCATGACTTTTCCTTTGCTAGCTACCACATGCTGTATGATTTGAATCTAACTAAAGATAAAGATTAAAAAAAAAAAAAAAACATTAGTGAGACACTGAGACATCTTGAGAGTCCTTAAGTTTGAGGTTCAAACTTGCTATTCTTTTTCTTACTCAGTTTTTTTTAAGGCGTAACATATTATGATTGACTTAAAAGAAAAGAAGTGAATCGTGTCCTCTAGGGCTTAGCATAGTGGTTTATTGTTTTACTTAATGGTACGACTGAAGGCGGCAGTGTGAGTATTGTGTTTGGGCAAGTTGTGTGAGAACTAGTTTTGTTCACTATTGCAAAAATTAATCAGCGCCTAGGCGCTAGGTGCCCGACCTCCTAGGCGCCCTAGGCGGTCCCCATGCGCCTAGAGGGCGCCTAGCGATTTTTTCAACATTGGTTTTGTTTGTATATATTTGAAGGGAATGAGACCTAAATATAGACAGTGTGTAGTTAACAAGTCACAAATTGTAAAATTTATAGTCAAAAGAGACGAATGCAGCTATATTTGGCCAGAAGAAATCAGATTTTACAAAGACAAATTCTGCTCTAACCCTAACACTATAATTGTTAAACAATTGCAGTGGTGCACTCATTTTACAAAGACATCTTCACCTCTCTCCATTGCTGTAGGCCAGAAGAAGCCAAAAATGAAACTAATGGAGGTGAAATCTACTTGCCAGAAGCAAACCTTTTTGACTGAAATCCAATGTCTTGGCACGGCTAGCATATAACATATAAACATAAATGTGCAATCTAACTATCAACTTAGACTTTTAGTTGAAATGGAGCACATGCTTCAATTTGGTATAAGAATCAACCCCATGCCAAAGGTCGCTCCGCACATGCTTCAATTTGGGAACCCCATACTTCCTCGAGTCCCAGAGCTTTATCTTCCATTCCATTCTACCGGTAGCCATGAGATGGCCATTCCGCTGCCACGTGCTCACAACACCACCAGATGGCCTACAGCAATCACACTATTGAAGGGATTCAACCAGTGCATAACATCACTTCGACCTAGGCCAGATCGATAGTTACCAACCATCTCCCTGTGATGCCAAAAGGAAATGACATTAGGAATTGAAGTACGTAGCGCATTCCTGAAAGACAAAAGTAGAAGTTGGTTCCGTTTTCATTTCCCAGTGAACCGAAACTAGCCTTCAGACAAGGGATGCACATGAAAGAATTAGCAGTTCATATACTACAAATCCAATATCAGAATCCATTGGTTGACAGACACAATCATAGCCTCAAAATCTCATAGATTGATTGAAGAAAACATCCAAGTGCACAGCAGATGAAATAATGAACTAATGAAACACCAATAGGATGAGTTCCTTTCACAAAACAAACGTTAAAATACATATAGTGCAATAGGTCAACGAACTCTACTTGACTCAGGTGTAATTTATCTAAAGGATTAAGGAATGTTCAGATCTATTTGTGCAAACACAACGAGCAATATTAACTTTTGTTACTGAGGAAACAACACAACAATCATAACATAAGAGTATTCACAATGTTAGCCGCATACAAGTAAAACAATAATATTATAAACAGTATTGGAAGACAGAAGTATCTTACTTCTTTTGAGCAGCAGCAAAAACAGTTCATTGTGCAAGAACACTACATCACGTACTGTTTCTCTAACCTGGAAAAATAAATTATTACGTATTTGTAAATACAAGTTAAAAGTGAACAAACTCACAACTATGAAGCCAGACAATCTTGGGTTATATCATAGGTGTACCCTCAATCTTCAACAACTCAATTACCTGTAGTTCTTTAGTAAGATATAGATTTTTCATGTCTACAATAGCAAAGTGTCCCTTTCAGCCAGCTAACTCCATGTAACGACCACTAGACACAAAATCCAGAGTATAAGGTCCAGGATCTGCATATACAACTTAAAAACTGATGTGAGAAGAATCAGAAGATTAAAAAAAGAGAGTCCAAAATAAATTTTTTAAACAGGAGCCCTATATTTTCAAGACCAACACTGGGTAAGCCAAACAATATATCCAAATACAATACCATTTCTTGCTGATATGGGAAAAGCCATGAAATATGAGCCAAACCAGAAGAGAGGATGGCTGGCAGATAAGAATCACAGAAAGTTAGGGTTTAGCAAGAGTTGGCACCTTAGTTACTTGTGGAGTAAGCAAGGGTCTCATTAGCCACCAACCTAGTCACATCATGCAGCCCCACATAGAGCTGTCAAAACGGGCTTAGCCCGCCGGGCTTTCCCGCCCCCACACCACTATAGCCATCTCATCTTGTATAAATACTTGAACTTAAGATTGGAGGGGGACATTCCAGCTCTTTTTCTTTTCTCGTAGTAATAGGTTAGGCATTCCTACCATTTTGTAAACTTGAACACTAGTGCTCTGAACCACCAAAAGGGAAGAAATAGAATGATCATGCATTATTATATTATGTACCTAGTATTGTATACTTAATGATCAATGCACCCCCATTGCACACGAATAAACCTCTAAGACATATCAAGTTATCAACACTCTAGAAAAAGGGGTTAAAGCTAGAGCTGTTGGATTAGCTATATTTTATCAACAAAACCAAACACCCACAATGGGAATGATTACGACTTTGGGCTACAAAAGTAGTTAGCCGAATTCCCACAACATAATGGTGTACCAATGACTTTCTCACTGGTGTACCATGAGTGTATGTGGATTGTGGATAAGATCTAGTTGATGGGGTTGTGGTTAGATTTAAAGTGTGATGGGTCGCAAAGTGCTATGACCAAAGACATGGCATGGATTATATTGATACTTTTTTCTCTGAAAGATAACTCCCGTTCTTAGTTATGTATGGTTAGAAATGGACATAGGCCAGACTTATCATAAGGGAAGACATGACCTACCACGGGAGAACAAGGAAGGAACAAGCCCAATTGCCACCTCTATGTTTGACTAGTATTGTACTAGAATCATCCATCGTCAATTGTCCTTTCTTTTTCTTTAAGAAACTAAATGAACTTATTCTCAAAGAAATTCTTAAATCTTTGATACCATGCTATGAAGAAAAGTATGTTCTATTATTATGAGTTAATATACAAGTTCAATGTTTTTAGTGCGTTTCAATGTTTTCTTTAAGAAACTAAATGTACCATATTCTCAAAGAAATTCTTACATCTCTGATATCATGCTATGAAGAAAAGCATACTTTATTATTCCGTGTTAATATACACGTTCAAATGTTTTGTGTATAAAGTGATAGGTGGGCTTAGCCCACTATGCTTAGAGTTCTTTCGAACAATGAATATTGTGTTTGAGTGTTATTTCCTTCTATTGTTATTCTTTTATTTTCCTTTTGGTAGGAGGGTGGAGGGAGAGTAGAAGTTTTATGGAATGGTTTTGATGTTTCTACATGGATTTTTAAAAGCACCCATAAATTTATTACTATTAGGGATAAAGGCCTCAACTTAAATGTATTTCTAAGAAACAGGCCTAGCACTCGCCCAATTGAATTTATTAACGCATCTTTAGATGAAATGTGAACCAATGCTTAAAATAGTAATAACTCAAAGATATTTTGTATATCAACACTTTCATTACTCTCTAGCTGTACTTTGTCCAAACTTGCTCAATTGTCGGTCTTCCGTTTACAATCTCGCTAAGGCTACTCCACCTCTTCCACCACCACCGCTTTTGGGTAATTTATCTACTTTGTTCTACTTTATTGATTGCTTCCTACCGCTTCTGTGGTTTTTCCTCTTTGCTTTTTCAATCTCCTTTTACTTCTAAATCTTTTGTTGAGTAAATTTAAGATATGAAGAAAATTTCAAGATCTATTTCAAATATGACGATGATATAGTGATTTCAGATTTTTGCATGTTCTATGGCTTGGACGAACTTCTAAATCTTTTGTTGAGTACGTTTAAGATATCGATCTCCTTCATATATGAGGATGATTTCTAACTTGTGCTGCATTCTAAGATTTGATTACTCTACAGTTGTATTTTGTCCAGATTTCCTCAATTGTTAGTATTTAGTTTCCATCTCGCTGATGGCCACTCCACCTCTTCTACCACCACCGCTTTTGGGTAATTTCTACTTTGTTCTACTTTATTGATTTCTCTTCCTGCCATCGTACTTTGGTCTATGATTTTCTTTTGGGGTTTTTCTCTTTGTTTTTTCAATCTCCTTTTACTTCTAAATCTTTTGTTGAGTACCTATAAGATATCAAGAAAATTTCAAGATCTATTTCAAATATGAAGATGAGCTAGATTTCAGATTTTTGCATGTTCTGTAACTTGGACGAACTTCTAAATCTTTTGTTGAGTACGTTTAAGATATCTCGATCTCCTTCATATATGAGCATCGATTTCTGACTTGTGCTGCATTCTAAGATTTGAACCCCCCCCCCCCCCCCCCCCTCCCTCCCTCCAACCCACCTACTCACCTGCAAAACTCCCTTTTTACTTCTCTAGTATATGAATCTGTGTGTTCAATAATTGTTTTAAAGAGGAGAAATGTGAAAAAAGAGGATTTCTTTGCCATTTAAATACTCTTCAGAAATTGTTGAAGATAGATGTAAGTCAAAGAAGTAAACATAACACCCAAAAAACAGAAATCATAGAGTACATTTGAGATTCCTCCAATTGATTGTTTTTGTTGATTGGAACTGTCTGTGGTGAAGAACAAGATACAGAGACTGCATCCATGGAGGGGATGGAAATTGTTCCAATAGAAAAAGTTGCAGATACGATTAAGGATGCTCAGGAACTGAAGGACTCCATTGAGGAAATAAAGGTTTTTGTCATTCATACTGTGTGTGCTTGCTGCTTTCAGTTGTCTCTTGCTGCATGATTTATTTAATGTAATATCCTATTGTTTCTTATGTCATAGGTGTTGGCAGAGGACCGCCTTATTGAGCTTCAAGGTGCAAAAGAAGACAATTTTATCCTGGCTAAGCAGTTGCAGGATCTTCAGGTTTTTAATAATTTTATCGCTCAAGTATTTGAAATTTGAAATTTATTTTTTACATTACTTTCCCGATCACATCAAACAAATCCTGAAGCTAAACTATGATGTTTTGTGTATATAGGCTGAACTGAAGGATGATAGATTTGTGTATTCAAATGATGCTTATACAATATTGAATGACCAACTTCATCACTGGAATATCATGACTGAGCGATACAAATTGCTAGCAGAGTCTTCTCAGGTGAAGCTGCTTAACTTTTGATGTCTTGTCTTATTGGGTTTTGTTGGTATTTCAACAAGTCTGGGCTTAAAGTTTAGTTCAGGCTGGCAGGTCTTTCATTACATGGAGGGAGAAAGAATCAGCTGTAAAAGCAGAATTAGTGGATGATGCAAAGAAGGCTATTAACGATTACGAGTCAAAGATTGAAGAACTGGAGCATCTTTTGCAGAGATGCATTACTGAGAAAAATGAGATGGAGATCATAGCAGAAGAAGCTATTCAAAATTCAGGTTTATTTGATATTAGTTTAAATACATTGGTGCATTGGTTTTGAAGAGTGATCTTAGCAAGAAGTAAATAACTTACAGGACAAAAGTGCAATATGTCAGAGTATCAGAAAATCAGCTCTGCTTTATCAAAGGAAGCAGAATCGATGAAAGCTCAGTTGAATCGGTGGAAAGACACAACTGAAGAAGCCTTTCACTTGTCTGAAGAAGCACAATCACTCAGCACTTTATTGGACAGGAAGGTTTGATCTTGGTGCTATCTTATTGTTATTCATCAGGGTCATTTCATGTTGAAAGAAATAACTTTATATTTTATTGGAAATGTATATAATAAATTGTTGATTTTATGTGTTTAGACATGCCTACCATAAGCTTAAATAATATTTTGATGTTATGGAGTTGTAAATATTATTTTAAGCTTGCTAGGCTTATTGATTTTATCAATCAAGAATGTTGGTCATCTAGTTTATTTTTCAGAGTAATTTATCATCTGAGTTTTATATCAGAAGATATTTCTTCTGGGTGTAATATCTTTTGATATGTCTTATGAGTTTTATATCAGAAGATATATGTTTTCAAAAGAGTATCTTCTGGATCTTTTGGATTTTAATATCAGAACAGAAAGGCACCTATATGGTTGCTGCTGAATGAGAAGTCATATTTCTGGTGAATATCAATTGTTATCATGAGATAAATAATCATCTTTTTACTGGCAGACTGCTGAACAGAAGGATTTGGCTGACAAATGTGCTCGAAATACTGGACAGATTAAATCGTTAGAAGAACTTGTAAGTTAACTTCATAAATCATAAGCCCTTTTTGTTCAAAACATAAGTTATGAGCTTCTCAATATTCTATTTTATGACCATGAAACCTCTACAGGTTGAGAAGGTGCGGTGGGAAAAAGAAGAGCTTGAACTTACCTTAGAAATGTATAATAAAGAGGAACTTTATGATAATAGGTAGGTTGAAACCATTATGTTTATTTGCATTAAGTCTAATATTTTCAAGTGCTGATAAAATGGAAAGGTGAAAGATTCACCCCCTCGGAACCATTTTATGGTGTACGCTTCTATTCAATGCCTAAGATTTTATGTGCATACAATCTTCTATACTGACAAAAAGGCTTCTTATGACTGTACTAGAAATCTTAAGGAGATTCAAGAATCTGAACGAAAAGCTCAGAAAGAAGCTAAAATTTTGAGAGATTATCTAGAAGATTTTGACCATGAAATGGGAGTGAAAGCTGCTAATGAATCCGAGGCTGCTTGCCAGCAGAGGCTTTCTGCTGCTGAAGCAGAGATTGCTCAGCTACAGGCTGAATTGGAAGCTTCAGAAAGGTTCCCTTACTGAACTTTTTTCTAATGAATATTCTATAATTCTTATTCTGAATCTATCCATTAGTTCAGCTCAATCCTGCATTCCTGCCATATCATTGAATTTATACTAAATATAATAGAATGACGTCAAATTTGGAAACTTAAAAGACTAACTTGCTTGTTATCTATCTATACTGAAACATAATTTATTTGCTTATTTCAGTAATCTGTAATCATCCTTGTTGATATAGATCTATTTATTGTTTTTGCTATGATTTCTTGCAGGGATGTATTGAAGCTTAGAAAGAAATTGGAAGTTAAAGAAGTAGAAGCAAAAGCGTATATTTCTGAGATTGAGGTTACCATTTTATGTTTGAAATCAGTGCATCAAAAATATTTTTTTTTAAATAAAATAAAAAATAAAAACCTAAACTGCGGGAATGATTCTGACATCAACTTATTATTCCACAAATTTAAAGTTTCATTCTTGTATTTGTCTTCTCCTTAGCTTAGCCTTTTGCTTGATCTGCTTACCTACAGGTTGTTGGTCAATCTTATGAAGACATACAGGGTCTGAACCAACGTCTCTTGCAGATGGTGGCTGAAAGAGCTGAACTTAACATTAAAGTTTGTGCTTATATTGTCTTTGATTGCAATTTATCTTCTTTCTATAATTAGCTTGTCTTTCCTATCAAGCATTGCTGTGAGATTTGCTAAATTTTCCTTTTCAAAATAAAATTCTAATTACAGCTGGTCTCTGAGAGTACAAAAACAAAGCAGGAACAAAGCTTATTACTCTCTACGAGACAGGAATTAGCAACACAACATCAACAGTCAAAAGCTTCACTTCAATCTTTGAAAATGAGGATGGCTCACAGTGAAAACCAGGTAGGCTTCTACTTTAGAACATCATAATTTAATAATGCTATAGAGTGTTTCTTCTTGACCAATATAGAATCTTGCAGATGAGAGATTATGTTCTGGAGGCTTTAAATTATAAAGAGGAAGACAGACACCTTGCAGTATCAGCAGAGACTGTGAAATTGGAAATGCTAGATGCTGAGAAGGAATTGACATGGATGAAATCTGCTGTTTCTTCCTCTGAGAAGGAATATGAACAGATTCAGCAAGAAATGGGCAGAGTTATGACAGAACTAGAAACTGAAAGGTTTATTCTTTTTTCTATTTCATCTCCATTCTTGATAATTTAATTGGTTATGTTGTTTTCTCTGCAAATGTGCAGATACCGTGCGGTATCCCCACATCTGCTCAATACAGTGCTGCTTTACTGATTTTTATTTTTTTATTTTTGGTTATGTTTGCACATTTAAGAAGTGCCCAGTTCTGGTGGTTTAAACTGTAAACCAAAACTTTCTTTTATGTCTCTTATCAATTAGATCTTGGAAGTTACCTGCTAAATATGGACCCTGAAAAATTGAGAATGTGGCCTATGCCTAGAATCTAGATAAAAAGTCTTGTAGGAATTTTGATGTTCTTCTTATTGTTCCTAATTTAAATTTTAAAGTACTAGTTTGACTGATCCAGTCGATGTTGAATACTTGAATCAGAACCAAGAAGAAGCAGCTTGATGATGAGCTTGTTGAGTTGAATAAAACTGTAGAGGAGTTGACTTCTCAGAGTGGGGAGGATGAAATACAAAAACTCCAGGATGAAATCAATGACTGCAAGGCTACTCTCAAATGTGGTGTTTGTATTGATCGGCAAAAGGAGGTATTCATATATTTTGATTTTTCTATTGAGGAAAGGTTAAACATGGCCTTCTGAGTTGTAGGATGTATTTTTTATCCTTGGGTTTACATATCTCCCTTATCCCGGGCAACCACCGGGCGGGTTTAGGCCTGGCCGCCTGGAAGCCCTGGAACACTGTGAAGTGGTCCAGCACTATACTAGGACCGACACTGTAAGGGCAGATCTTGGTACTCCCTATGCCCAGGACCAGCCCGGGGACTGCACAGAACCTGTCCGACCTGTGATCACCTCTACTTTATCCTTAAACATACTTAAAATGTTACTTGATTTTGCCCAATACTTCTACCTTAAAAGGTTTAAGTTGCAGGCTTGCAACTTCCTCTTGAGTTTTGAACTAGTGCTACCCACACTAATGCCGTCATTTGGTTTTGTCAGGTTGTGATTGCAAAGTGCTATCACATGTTCTGTTATCCATGCATCCAAAGGAATCTAGAGATGCGCCATCAAAGATGCCCTGGTTGTGGAACTACATTTGGACAGAACGATGTTAAATTTGTCAAGTTTTGAATGATCACTTCAAAACAACTCTGCTTGGTGAACATGTTCACCAACAACATCTACTCCCCTCTTCAACGTTTTCAACTCATATCTGTCAAAAACTAAAAAAGAGGACTATAGTGTTTTTTTCATTCCTATTTTACTTTGTTATACTTGTCCCCTCAAGACTTCTTTTCGGGGATGTAAACATTTCTCTGTTTGTGTTTGCAATAGTTTCAGACTTCTCTATAAATTTTGTTTTGAAGTCTGAGTGTGCTGCCTAGTGTGACTGAGTGTGCATTCCACGCTGAGCCCATCAGGCTGGGAACACTTTCCATTTTTAAAATTTAATTTCTTTTTTTTTTCATTTAAATATATAATATAAATAATTATTGGGTGAAAATGTGGAGTTAAATAGATATTGGGTCAATGTGCAGGCTGCGTGCACCACATGCCTGCTGGGAAGACTTTACATTTTTTTTTTAAATTTCTTTTCTTTTTCATTAGATATATGTAATATAAATAATTATTGGGTGATAATGTGGAGAAAAATAGATATTGGGTCATAATAAGGAGAAAGGAATATCCCTAATCATTGTGGATGCCCCTTATTAGCAGTATGCCATCTCTCTCTGTTTTTTCGTTTTTTCGCTTTTTTTTTTTTTTTTTTTTTTGGTTGTATGATGAAACTATTAGCAGAACAGTCAGTGGGTAAGGAATTGTAAATAACATTTTGTTTTTGTTACCAAGTTTTTGAACAAATATATGGAATTGCATTCATCATGGTTCACAAGTATTTGTGTTCTTTCAAGACTACATATGTTTATCGTAGTAAAAAATCAGGGCAGATTTCAGAACCTAAAGTGAAAGGGTATTAACTCTAAAACATGCATTCTCCCAAGCTCAAAATCAGAGTTACTACGTTGTGTATCTTAATCCTAGTTTTCGGAAAAGACTCCAGATCCTCATGTGAAAGGGTAGAAGTTTGAGAACAGTAGACTGCCAAGAAAGATGTAAGCCGAACAATATGCCCAAATACAATACCCCCATCTCTTGCCAATGTAGGGGGAAGCCATGATATATGAGCCAAACCAGTAGAGAGGAGGGCTGGCAGATAAGAATCGGGTTGCGACCTGTCAAACGTAGTTAAGGGACAATTAGATGTATCAACGACTTGTAACGGACTGGGGATGTAAAATAATGGAAAGAGTGTTATCTGAGCTTGGGAAGTTGGAAGAAGAGGAAGCAGTTGTTCTGTTACTGAAGTCGAGAAAATTTACAAGAATGCCACCTAGGTGTTTCTTAAGTTTGTTGACCAATGTATTTTTTAGACAAATTAATTGGGTTTTCTTCTGTATTTTCAGTTGTGATTAGTCAATATAAATAGTTAGAGATGTGTTATAGATGTATGGATGTTCAGTTTCAAATAAAGTTCTTTTCCTCATTTATTTTCTCTCTCAAAGTTCCCTATCTCTCTCTGATTCCTTTCTATTCCCCTCTTCTATTTCTATTCTTCATGCATTTCTTATTCTTTCTAATCTTAGCTGATAACTTTGGTTCATAACACAGATTTGAGTAAATCTTCGAACAATGAAAGGGAAGAAAGAAGATGAAACAAATGCAAATATGTAGGAAACCATGGGGGTAAGGTTTGCCTGACCTGTACGTGCATAACAAGAAAAGCAGTTGCCACCATGAATCCGAGATGGAATATGAATGGAACAAGTATAGTCGATAGATCTGGATTATCTGATTTTCCAGTTTCTGATGGGATTGTCGCAGAATCCTTGCTTCCAGCAGCTTGTTTCCGGTGTTTAAGTACATGGTTGCCTATCACATATTATAACCAAAAATATGCCGTTTAATAACAATATGTAAAAATCAAAATAATCAGAATTAAACAACAGATTGGTTATTGGTACCTTGCAATTTGCTAGAGGTATCTTTCACAGCAAAGTCATCACTCTTTGGCCCTGCATTTGTCCCCTTAGAGAAGGGTGAAACAGTCTGCCCTTTAATCATGGAAGAAGTTTGGAAGCCTAGTGAGAGGAAAACTTTTGGTTGTCGCTTCACATAATGTATAATTGAGCAGAGTGCAAGAGACAAAATTGGGGAAGCAAGTAGAAAGTTTGGGATCTGTTTTATTTGAAAATATCTCAAGAATCCCACTCCCCTGAAACAAGAAATTATCACATTATCAAGGTTAGGAAGAAGAGCATGAAGCATGTCATAGCTTTTATTTTCTAATAAAAAGTAATCATAAGACTTCTTGACCATAAAATGACAGATGCAATGCTATCTTTCAGAATAGGATTCGATGAAGAAAGAATAACAGGGATTAAGTAATATTGACAAGAGGTAATAGATCAACATACCAATAATGACTTTGGATAAAGTCATAGAGTAAGGGAAGCCTCGCCTTGCACCATGGCCTTGCTTCAGCAGGAGAATGTCCCAAGCACATATTGTAATATCCATAAGCTTGGAAAGCAACGAATGGAAAAATAATGCACAGGCAACGAATAGCACCAGCAAGAAGAACCCGGAAAGCAAACTGATAACATTGTACAAGATTCTGTAAGACTACAAAATTCAGCAATTGGTTAAACACTTCGCTTTTTATATATATATATATTTTTTAAATTAATCCAATACATAATTTTTCAACATGCGCTCTAAAAAATTAGTTCCTATAATAAAAAAGGAATACTGTAACACTTACAAATGCACTCTTTTTGATAAAAACAGCACTGTAAGCAGAGTGCATAGTCTGAAAACATATATAGCCCGCATTAAGTATTCCATTTGACCTTGAAAACCCAGAGAGAGCAAAGCAAAGGGTAGCTATATTTCTTGCGCCACTAGTGAAGTAATATAACCCTCCAATTGACAAAAGAGCATAGAGACTCTCTGTATATCTAAAAATAAAGAAAGGCAATATGTTCAATTATGGAAATTCTTTGATATAAAATGATGTATGATAGATAGGTTAAAATATGAGCAAATTTTAGTGGAACCGTAAAATTTAAAAGCAACAATCTATATGCACATGCTATTCTAGTATTCTTGATTAAGTAAATGTTCTTTGCAGATTTCTTTTGTAAGTATAGTTAGCACTACAACTATAACTCATCTAATTTTCTTTGAATGCAGCAGTTAAGGGCATAGGATGATACATTGATGAGTAGAATATGGAAGCAGGATTAAAGCAGAACAGTATTGAAGCTCTCAGTGCTAGCTCTGAGTCCTTCACAACAACTGCAGAAAGCCTGCAAACAGATGAACAGAGAAGAAAAAACAAGTTTGATCAAATAAAACACAAAAGCAACTGCAAACTTCATTAGCACGAAAGAACAAGTGCAAATGCATTCTATGTGCACTGAATTCTATTTTCCAAATTTTATTCATGCAGACACTAAAAAATATATTCCCCAAACTTCTTTTGATCACTTAATCACAACTTAATAAAGGCAAGGATAAAATTTTCCGGTTTTCGTCATTATGGAGTCATTCTTCTTTTTAAATATGCGAGTGCATAGCATTGTCATTCAAGTATATCGTGTTCATCCACACAACATCTGTAAATCAATCATGAGAAATCGAGTGTAAATGTGCATGCATTTAAGTCCATTTCTAAATGACCATTTCTAACTCTATAAATACCAAACATTTTTCTCTAAGCAATAATATAGCACAACAGTTACCTGTAAAGATACAGAGCTGCTAAAACAAATGCAATGTTATTGAGCACGTAACCAGATAATCCCAGAACAGCTCTATGTCCAACAAGGGGAATCAACGGGGAAAAAACTGAAAAATAATACATATATTCAGCAACCAATCTAGGAAATTAAAACAAATAAGGTACATGTTTGCAAAAAAAAACAATTAAGGTACATAGAAAATATTGAATTTTTTTTATGAAAATAAAAATTGAAGGATGTAGAATTCACCTGTTCGGGAGAGTAGAGAAATGGAAACGGGAAGGAGAGGGAAGAAGGCGTAAGACTGCTCATATTCATATCCACACTGTGCAATGCGGACGAAGTATACACTGTCCCATACAATGCTATCCTCAATTGCCGCCGCCACACGAGGGAGGAGAACCGGTGACGTGTGCGAATTCCATTCTGAAGGGAGGCAGCAGGGGTTTATGGAAGCGGATGTGTCGTAGGGGCTAAGGATCCATCTCCAGAGAAGTATTAAGAAAATCAGAAGAAGTCTCGAGGCTATCGCATATTTCAGAACAAGCAGCGTCCGGCTATTGGCCTGGACGGAAGAAGAGTTGGTCACCATCGCCGGAGCAGGGAAGGCAGAACAGACTGAACAGTGGAAGTGTAATTTAGACTTTTGCGTTACCAATGTTAGCTTTTAGTCTTTTACTTTTCGTCATTATGTAATTTATATCACATTTAGTCTTGTCGTCAAATTACCTGCCAATTATTGCTTGAATTTCAACTAAAAAATAATATGTTCTAATTAAACAAGTATTTTTGGCCAACTATTGTTGAAAAAATTATTTTTCTCATTAAAATACGAAAAAATACTTCGTGTACTCCCATTTTAAACTCTCAATTTGTACTCCCTCTCACGTACTTTTGATGTAGAGAGAGTAGAACTTTGGGAGTCTATGTAGTAGGACTCTTAAAATACTGGCTGAAAAATTGGACGGTATTACCAAATGTGATACAAATTACAAAATCATGTACGTAATTTGAAAATATTACGGAGTAATAGTCAATGACCAAATGTGATACAAATTACATAATCATGCACTTAATTTGAAAATATTACTAGTTAAAGACCAAAATCGATACATATATAATACTCAAGCGACTAAAAGTGAAACTTTTTCTATAAATTTAGACTTTTGTGTTTAGATGGTCCACATATATTTTTTTTGTGTCGAGCCAAGTAATCATATGCAGATTAATTATGTGGTGCAAGGGGGATCCAGAATTTCCTTTTAATGGGGGCGAAGAAGTAAAAGTAAAATGAATTAAAAAATGTTCAAATACAAAATACATTAGAAATTATAATACAAGGTATATGATGAATTACGGGATAATATTCCTCTACGCTCACCCATATTTTGAAATGGGTGTTTGATCAAGAATTGATGCCCGTGAATTTAAAAACAGTACAGTTTGATCAAGCCCATAAAAATTCTGATGAAATAGTGACAGCAATAAATCACTAGCTAGCAGTGCACTCGTGGTTGCCGTGTCATTGTGTCAAAGTAAATGGAATTAAAAGTTTAAAACACATAGAACATGGCATTCAAGTACACACTGCTGC